ATTGTTAGTTTTTTTTTTTTTAAATGGCGGCTTAATGAATAGTCGAATTTAAATTTGACAAAAAAAAAATTGTTATTTGAGAGAAATATTGTGTAAACCTTAATTCCTAAAAATATGGATAATGACTCCCTTAAATGCTTTGAGTAATCTGATCAATAATGAGAAAGAATCTTGAAATCTTGCTTCCAAAAAATCCGGTAAATTATTTTCTTAAATATTTTCAGTCAAACGTGTAAATTAGGTTACAAAAATTCGATCAATCATTTAACGAATAAAATGTTTGAAATTTTTTGAATCTTTCCAAAAAAGTGAAACCAACTTAATTGTTAAATATTTTTTTATCCATATTTATCCATCTACAAATCTCATATTTTATGGTCACACCTAAAAATTCGCATTTATTTAACAAAAAATATTAATTTCGGAAATTAATTTTTCTATTTCGGACTCTTCAACTTAATTGATGATTTTTTTGTCCATATTTATCTAACTACAAAATCTTATAAAGTTTAGAACGAATCTCATATTATGTGGATTCTTGGTAGCTATTATTTTGTACACATCCAATGAACAATTGGTTAGGAGAAATATTAGAAAATGAAACAAATCATACTCCCTCTATTTGACAGTGTGTCAGTTTTATATTAAAAAAATCTAACTACAAATTTAACGGGAATCGTTATTTTATGCTTATATAAAAATTTTCTAAATCTGTTATCCGATTTTAATATTTTTGTATATATACTCTCCCTTTTTCTCCTTGCTGGAAGTTATCGGTAATGTTATGGTATTGTTATGTCACATTTTGGTTTCTTTTGCATGACCTTTTTTTCAATGGGAACCAAATATGAGATTTTTTAGGATTTATGATAAGGATTAAACAAGAAAAGGCATAAATACATCTAAAACGAAATTTAAAAAACTACAAAAATTACAAACTCAAATGACATTTATTCTTAAACGGAGGGAGTAAGATGTAGTAAGAGTAATTATCATACAAATTAATATTGGAAAAGAAATTAATTCCATAAAGACAAAATCACACAATAAATTTACAAATTGATGAGATTTAAATTTGAATATAAAATCTATGTCACACAATAAATTTGATGATATTTAATTCAGAATATAAAATGATATTTATTTTTTAATATAAAACCAATCTATGAATTTTTTGAATATAAAGTTTAATCATACAACAAAACTAATGAATAGTTCTATATATATATATATATATATCAATTTTATTTTATTTTACTTTTTTAGTTATATTTGTACTAATTTTATCTTACTTTTTTTTTTCATTTTTCTAAAGACAAAGTCCTAAAGAAATAAAAAGACTCATTAAACTATCATATAAATTGTAGCTTTAAAATTGTTTTTTTCAAACATAGATTGTAGCTTTAAAATTGTTAAAAGAAGAATTTTGGACTACATATGAATTGTTAAAAGACCAATTTTCATAAATTGAATAGAAGAATTTTGATTCATAAGATATAAACTCTCTAAGTTAATGAGATAACAGAGTCCAACATCACATACTCAAATAAACTTCATAGTTTTAAAATTATCGAACATCATAAATCAATCTGGGATAATATTTAATAATTTTGTAGATAGTTTTTTAATAATAGTTTAGAAAAATTTAGGTAATTTCACACTTTTTTTTAGAATAATACAGAACAATTTAGATATTTTACACATGTTATATATTAATTTACATATATTTACACATGTTATATAATATTTTAGATATTGTTAATATTTTATATAGACATGTTTTATGTTGTTTTTCAAAAGTTAATTTTCATAAGACATTTTCAACAAATTAACCTATTATATTACATATTGATCCAATAATTTTAATTTATAAATATTATTTAACAATACATCAGAGTATCAACTTCTTCGCAGATTGATTCATTTTCGTATTTATCTAACTATCATTATAAACCAATTAATGATGTTGAATTCAACACATAAATTATTCGACTTTACACTTTTCAAAATATGTTCGCCATTTTTCATCTCATATCTAATTTACAAATTTTAATGTGAATCTTAAATATCTCATATTTATTAAATATATATATATATATATATTTTTTAAAAAAACATGACAATTTATATAATTAATTTTATCATATATCATGTTTTAAATGTTATTAGTCCGGTTGGGGACACTCATTCAATTCAAATAAATAATATGTAATTTTTCATATTTTTTATTTTTTTTCTTGAAATAATAAGATGTTAAATATAAATAATTATATTTAAAATAAAATTATAAAAAATATTTTAAATAACAAGCCGTCCGTGCATAGCACAGAATACACTAGTACACTTTAAAGAGACTACGGCTTTATAAGGCTACCACTTTTTTATTTTTTTCCAGAATGAGCATAACATAATCTCTTTATATGTTACTATTTCTTGCTATTTCTATTTGGGTCACATGGGCATTTAAGCCTCTTCCTAAGCATATTTAATCATGGCAGTTGATGATTATTTAAATCTTTCGGTAAGATGTAAAAACTACCATTCAGAATTTACCACATTAATTGANATAAGCAGAAAATGCAAAAATGTCCAAACACTATGATCATTTTATTGAAAACATTCATTCCGGATCTGGAGGAATCATTTATTACTAGTACGGCTAAACTATGATAATTTTGCATTTTGTACCATAATCTATTTATTAATATTTCGGTTTACTACTACACCAACAATTGAAATTTTTAGAGCATGTTTATAAAAATTTTTGGTTTTGTTTGGATTTTTTGATTTGATTTGGTTAATTTTGGAAAAGATGGTATGATTAGTTGTTAGTGGGTATATTAAAATAATATTAAAAATAAAATATTTAAAATTGATTTGATGTAAAAATAGGAGAGAGATCTGAAGTGATGGTTACATAAAATAATGTGAGTGAATGAATAGTGAATTAAAGTTGATGTGGTGTGTATGAATGATTAATTGATATTGTTTAATTATATTGATATTTTGATGATAGTGGGGTTGAGTTAAAAAAAGTGGTTGAGTAAAAAATAATCAAATTAATCATCTCTTGATAAGTTTCGATTTAACATCCATATTGTATGTATAAAAAAAGTGAATTACATTTATCTTTATAACAATAATAAAATTATTTTTTAATATTAATTAGAAAAATAAAATTATTTATAAATTAATATATTTATATTTCAAGTAGTTATATTATATAAGTTATAAAAATTACTATAATATAGCACATGCAAGTCGAACAAGTAACAAGTGCATTCTAAAATATATAATAATATATATTTTTTGTAAAAAAGTAAATAAATTTTAAAATAATGTTTCTCATTAATATTAAAATTTTAGAATAATTTTTTAACAACTACCCGTGTAATACACGGTGTTGTACTAGTATGCAATATAAACACAACCAAAGTTCTGGTAGGAGAGTTCCATAATATTAGATATAAACTAGTTTTTGTGCTGTAATAAATAAGCAATTAATTGCTGATTGACCCTTGATTGATAAGTGCGTCATAAAGAATCTAGTGTATAAAACGCATGGACATTTCTTTACATTTATTTTTAAATTAATTTTTACAATATGAAATTTTTATACCTATATTGGACAAGTATATAAAAAGCATTGTATATTTCATGCCATTTCATGATCAATAAGTGGTATAAAAACAAACTATAATTTATTTTATATGCTATTATACACTCGCTCTCTATTTAATTCAATTTCCATGCAAAAACTTAATTTAATTTGGAGTAATGTAATAATTATTTTTTTATTTTATGTATGGAATATAGGTGGCGAGTCAACTATCATCAACAAATAACTAGTTTGATACTTTTTATATATAAAATAAAAAAGGAGAACAAATAACAAATTTTGAGTTTTAAAAAGAAAAAAACACACAGAAAAATAAGAGAGACGAGAATATTTGGTTCAAAAAATTAAAAGAGAAATACACATAATAATAAAATAAGACGATATGTAATAGAAATGACCTGCTAAGGAATCAAGAAGAGTTGATTTGCCAGAGCCCGAAGGGCCCATAATAGCCATGATCCGGCCCGGTCCAGCATATCCGTTCAGCCCATTAAGCAAATTTTTGATTGGTTGCTGCCCAAATTTTGGCAGCACAACATTCAAATCCTGCCAAACCAAATACGCCTCCCCACAATGCCGTGGCGGCGCCGCCTCCACTTCACCACCGCCGTCCGACACCTCAATTTCCATGGCGGTCAAAAGCAATAATGCAGACTTTCTGAGTAAATAACTACTTTTGCCGACACCTCAATGTAATTTGTTTTGATGAGCTCGAAAGTGGGCGGGCAGGCACTTTAAATGGCAATTTGGGTTCGAAGGATTGGGTGGGAAGAGTTGTTGACCTGTCCCCTTCTGTTTTGTAACTTCACAAATTCACGCATTTGAGTACTAACGTCATTTTTAGCCCTTATATCTATTTTAGGGCCGAATTTTCTTTACTCTAAAATTCTATTGAAACAGAAATCAAGTTTCGTACTTTTTACTTCAAATATATTATTTTTTTATTTATTTTTATTTCAAATAAATTGGTATATATATTTAATCTTATATAAATGTTTATTACTCAAATAATAAAACATGTTTTATTTATTTTTATTTCAAATAAATTGGTATATATATGTATATGTGAAATATTAAACACCGGCCCCTTTTACTACCTACCGCCCCCTTAGACCGTTTTGCTCCTACAATTTTCCAAAACACTCAAAAAAATAAATAAATAAAAGGCCGACCGTCCGCATGGAAGGCTGGTACCGTCGGCCGGCTAGATTTCTTTTTTTTTTTTTAACAAATCCAATTTTTATNATAAAATGGTTTGTTGAATAATTATTAATATTTTTGAAAAAAAAATAATTATTAATTTAAAAAATTATAATTAGTATTCTAATATAAGTTTAAAAAATAATATAACTTTATTGATTAATTAGTTTGTAAAATTATATAATAAAAAAGTAGAATTATATGAAATTATTATATTAAACTTTTAATCAAATAGTGAAATTTATTAATGTACAAAATAATTTTATTAGATAATCAATTCTAATTTATAACGTAATAATTTCTAAGTTCTAACATAATAATAATAAATACTAGAAGATAATAAATTCTAAACTATAACATAAAAATTTCTAAGTTCTAACATAATAATAATAAATTCTAATTTAAAACATAATAATTTATAAATTCGAACATAATTTTTATACTAAATAAAAATTATAAGTAATTGAAAAAAAAAGGCTGGCCGGCCGGCAATAGCAGTCGTGCACGGTGCGGCCGGCCGATGACTGTGAATTAATTGGCATGTGCCTAATTAGTTATTTGGTAATTCGATTCTAGATTTATTATTTCCTTAGGATTAGATTTAGATTACTCATAGAGTTAGTATTTTATTTCCCATAGGCTAGTATTCCTCTCCTATAAATAAGCTTTTGTATTCATTATTATTTTTCATGGATTGAAGTTAAAAGAAAATCGACCATTGGTTACCAAATTCTTGTATTAGAGTTCTTATAGTTTTATGGAAAAATCCTTATGCCGAAAAGGGCGTTTCACCCCATAGTTCGTCATAAGCTCGAATTTGGCAAGGATATCACGTCCGAGCTTTCTCAAAATCGTGACAAGATAAGAATAAATCCAAGTCGTCCACAACCTATCGCCGAGAAGGAAGCCATCCAAGCAACTTTCAAAGCAAACCAAGTTATCAAGATATCCGTCTAAAGACGTTCAAGCGGCGAGGAGCTCGAGATCTAGCCGTTTCCAGCCGGTTGGAGGTCTTTGACGTGCCAAACCCATTGGCAAGAGACTTTTTTATACTAAAAAGATCCTACACTTTATATATATATATATATAGAGAGAGAAAGGATCATATGAGAATGACTCTTAATGCGAGAAATGAGAATAAGTATGGATCATTGGATCCAACATATCAAAGGTCTTGATCAAGTCAAATATTAAATATGACAGTCAAACTGGGATGGCAGATTCGTAAATAAATTTTCATTTCATGGTAAAAAATACACATCAGCCACTAACTAAGGACATCAAGGTAATTACTCATTCATAATAAATCTCAAGTGGGACCCACCACTACCACCAACAAACATCTCTTTTCTCTCACATCTTCCTCTCACCCCCACAGACGGGCACACACACACACACACACGACAGACGGCGGCACCCCAGTCCACAACCACCACCCGTCGCCTCCGACCTCACCCTGCGTCGCCCACGTCGTCGTCCGATCCCGCCACCTGTCGCCGGTCGCCGTCCTTACCCCACCCGCCGTCGTTGCCTTCCGTCAACCACCTGTCGTCCGCCACAAAATCCTCTGCCGCCGAGCAAGAGATGCTCTCGAAGACGACGAAGACGTGGCCACCGATGAACACTTGTTGCAGCGGCGTGCGGCCGCTGGCGTTGTGGTCGCCGGCGAGCTCGGCCATCCGGGCAATGAGGTGGTTGTTGAAATTGAGGTGGTCGCTGATGGTGGCGTTGTGACGGCGACCGACGAATGTCCCCCGGTGGCCGCTGGATGAGGCGCTCGACGGGAGGTGAACGGGCATGAAATCAAAAGAATTTTCAATTTTATGGAGAGGGGCTTATTTTTGTGAATTTGATAAGTTTTAGGGGTTTAAGTGAAAATAAAATGATATTGCAACTGTTAATTAAATGACACAAATGACCAACCACAGTGAATTGACCGCCAGAGAGCAGGTTGATGAATTTATGTGGGATCATCATTGATTATTTATTATTAAAATAAACAAAATTAATTGCGCACTAATATTTCAGTCTTGGGTTGCAAATCCTAATAATAGATGTTTGACTAATGAACATCATTCTTACTAAATTACTTTAGATACTCCATTTCCTTGTACCAACATAACTTGGTATTATAGGCTTATACTCTATTTCATTCCCTAGGCTTATACTCTATTTCATTCCCTGTTGATAATTTTTGAAGTTACTAGTTTAATTTATCGGTTAACATAACTAACCATCGACATAAATTATATTATTTATTATAAAAAAACATATTATTAATTAATATTTTAGTTGATTTTTATATTATTTTTTTATTAAAGAAATTAGTATACATGTAAACAAAATATACTGTGCAATCTAATAGTCTTAAGGTGCAATTTGTCCAACACTATGGTGCACGATGTCGGTCTGTATTGTGCAAATTGAACCAACCGAACTTTTGTCCCAAATCAAATTGAAATTGAACATAATTTATTGGTTTATTCGATTCGAATAACTGAATTATTTTAAATAATTGAAATAATTTGTTGTTTATATTATAATTATATTTAATATGTTAATAATTCTATTTATTATTTTTTATATTATTTTTTTGTTGAATAAAATTGAGTTCGTCGGTTTCGATCTCTAATTTGCAGTCTGATAATCATTATAAAGTGCAATGTATTGTTTTGTAAAGTGCAATATGTTGTTTTATAAAGTGCAACGTGATAGTGTAAAAGTCGAACTATAAAGTGCAATGTATTGTTTGGTAAAGTGCGATGTGTTGTTTTATAAAGTGCAACGTGATAGTGTATAAGTCGAACTATAAAGTGCAACGTATTGTTTTGTAAAGTGCAATGTGTTGTTTTGTAAAGTGTAACGTGATAGTGTATAAGTCGAACCAGTGTAAATAACTAAACCGACAGAATTAAACTTTACGGTTCGAAATTTTATATATCAATTTGATTAGAATAGATATAATATGATAATTATTCCTACCATTCTATTGCCAAAACAATTATTCCGACATATTGCGCAAAATATAATATTAATAATTAAATATGACATTTTTTAACAGTAATTGATCATGTTATATTAAATTAATAGTAATTTAACTACTAAAAATAAATTATCATGTCAAAATGCCCAAACATCATTCTTGTCTAGTTGTCATCCGGTTGGATTAATTTGATTAATAAAAATCAATTATCATGTCAAAATGCCCAAATTCCACCATGGTGAATAATTTGTTCTCACTGAAAAGAGTAAAAATTAAAAATTTGCAATTGAGTCCCTTGAATATATCAAATTCCCATATATGTGCCCTAATTTTTGGATCAAAATTTTGAAGGAAAATTTGAACATCCCTCCCAGCCGCCGGTTGCCCTCCCAATCCGGTAGTCTTGATAAAGTGCAATGTGTTGTGTTGTAAAGTGCAACATGGTGTTTTATAAGATGCAACGTGTGGACGTATAAAGTGAAATTATGTAATTTATTATTTTAATAAATTATTTTTATTATATATTTATGAATGGAATTACACTCAATAAATGACATATTTTTATTATTTCTTATTTAATACAAAAGTTGTTATGCAGATATCATTATTGAAACAAACGCCTAATGTGCATCTCAATTTTATTTTATTTTTAATAATATGTATTTATTTAAAATTACAGTATATTTATCAAGTTATTTATGTAATTAAAAATATATTTAGTATTTGTAATTTTTGTATTTAATATTTTATTCTATTAATTTAATTAACATGTACATTTGTTATGCTAAGGTGCGATCTCACTAACGCAAAAGTGCAACCCGTCAGTTAATAATGTGCAATATGTCCAATAACATTTTAATATTTTATATTATGTTTATTTAATATTTTACATTAATTTTAGAAATAATATAATATATGTGTTAGTTAAATAGCGTGCAATTTTTATGATTTTGCTCCAAAATATAATAAATACCTTGTGAAATTGTGTAATGCAACTGTTCTCAGACCAATTGAAGTAGCCTAAGCACGTGTATTAGTGTATAGGAGTAGGAATTGCTTTTTCTCTAATTTATTAAAGTTCACAAAATTTCAATTAAGCCCTTATACATCATTGAATTTTCAAAAATAAGCCCACAACCAAAACACATTTCAGGCTCACTCACGCAATTCAGCCGCCGTCTATGCCGCCTTGAACCGCTCGGCTGGACATGATGTGCCGCTGCTCGCCGACGGCGGATCGAACCTGCTCCTCGACCGATTTGCTGAAATTGGTTCGGAACCTTTGAAACGGCCCTGTTCAATTAGTACTTTAACGCCGTCGTGGTCGTCGTCGGAGACCGGAGAGAAGGAGAGCGTGCCGGAGACGACTCGCCGGCAGAAGGAAATCGGATAAGTGGTGCGCCGGTGTGTAGTGTCTGACGGAGGGGACGATTGGTGGTCGTGGTCTGTGCGCCGCTGCGCGTGTGTGTGTGTGTTAAAAAAGAAAAAGAAATTTCCGCCGCACCCAACTGCTGTTAAAAAGAAAAAAAGAAAAAAA